TCTCTTGGCTAGTGATTTGTCTGGGGTAAGCACGTGTGTGCGTTTTCTATCGTTGCTGAAACAAATTACCACAAATTTAGCAGTTCAAGACAACACAAATTTATTACTTTACAGTTCTGTAGGTCAGAAATTGGGGTTGGTTTGATTGATTTCTCTGCAATGAATTTTAAAAAGACAAAATCAAGATGCCAGCTGGCTGGACTTTTATCAAGATGCTCTGAGAAGGATCTGCTTCCAAAATTATTCTGGTTGTTGGTAAAACCCAGTTCCTTGTGATTGTAGGATGAGGTCCCCATTTCCTTGTTGGCTATCAGCTGGGGTGGCCTCTAGCTCATCAGAGGCGTCTAGGTCATTGCATATAGACGCCTACATCTCAGAGCCAGTGACAGTGTTGAATCCTTCATACCTGGAATCATCCTGACTTCTGTTTCATCTCTCTCACTCCAGATAAAGTCAATGCATTGCCTTTAAGGAATGGTAATGATTAGACTGGGCTCTTGGCTAATCTATTTCAAAGTCTGCAAACCTAATTACACTTGCCTAGTCACAGGTTACAGGGATTAGAGTGTGGATGTACATGGGGCCCATTATCCTGCCTATCATTGTATGTAATCCATGTGTGGTCGAAAAAAACAAAGGGAAGTCCATTAGGAGCATCATTTTCTGGATGAGAAGACAGAGATATCACTCTTCTTGTCCAGCTAGAGATGCTGGCATCACCCTAATTCCTGGATCTCTGCTTTTCTACGCTTTAAAATGTAGTGTTGATTAATCTGATTAAATTCACTTATACCTCACTTACACTGTATTATAATTCATAACACATATCTGGAGCAGCACCAGCCACCTCAAAAGCATGAGACATCAAGAATGAGGATAGGCTTTGGGTACTATGGCTCATGCCTGGAATCCCAGCACTCTGGGAGGCCAAAGTGGGGGGACTGCTAGAATCCAGGAGTTCGAGACCAGCCTAGACAACGTGGTGAGACTTTATCTTCACACACACACACACACACACACACACACACACACACACACACACACACACAAATTAGCCAGATATGGTGGTGCACGCCTGTAGTCCTATCTACTCGAGAGGCTGAGGCAGAAGAATAGTCTTAGCCCAGGAGGTACAGGTTAGGGTGAGCCCAGATCGTGCCACTGCACTCCAGCTTGGGCAACAGAGTGAGACCCTGATTCAGAAAATAAAGAAATATGGATAAAAAGTAAATACACCAAGGATCCAAGGATGGATGGCAGAGCAGGAGAACAGAAACTGCCTGGGTTCTCTATGATACTTGTGAGTAACAGAACCAATGCCAGTGATTGCCTTTGTTTGGATGGCTTGTCATTTGAGGAAAGAGAACTAATTATTTAAGTAATCAGTCCAATTTTTCTGTTACAGGCAACTGAAAGGAAGTCTAGATGACATGTTGCCCTCACTCTAATTTTTGGATCTTTGCTTTCAATGCTTTAAAATGTTGTGTTGATTGATCTGGTTAAGTTCACTTATACTTCATTTACACTGTATTATAAATCATGTCTTCATTAGTGGGGGTCCATCTTAGCTTTATCTCAAGACTGAGCTCTCCATTACAGAATTCAGGAAGAGGGACCAGGGGTTGGAAAACTACGGCCTGTTGCCATAAGCAGGGGGAGCTGAGAACAGTCTTTACATTTGTAAAGGGTTGTTAAAAAACACACACAGGCTGGGCCCGGTGGCTCAGCCTGTCATCCCAGCACTTTGGGAGGCTGAAGCAAGTGGATTGCCTGAGCCTGCAGGTTCGAGACCAGCCTGGGCAACTTGGTGAGACCTCACCTCTACAATACATCAAAAACTTGGCTGGGCATGGTAGTGCGTGCCTGTAGTTCCAGCTACTTGGAAGGCTCAGGCGGAAGGATCACTGGAGTCCAGCAGGTCGACGACGGGGTGGTTGTGAGCGTGCCACTGCACTCCAGTCTGGGCGATCGAGTGAGACTCCAACTCAAAAAAAAAAGAAAAAAATACGCACAAAAAGAAGAGTATGTGGCCACAAAGCTGAAGAGACTTATTACCTGGTCCTTTGCAGAAAAAAATCTTGCCAATCCCCGTATTCGTCACACAGAGGAATCACCCACCTTTCATGAAGTTGAGACTAGAGTTTCCTAAGGGAACAGTCATTAGATCAGCACTTAATACCTTTGGAACATTCTTGGTCATTGCTCTGCTAAGCTATGGTCTGATCATATGGCTCCCTGAGCTATGATTGTCATGTTTTCTTAGCTTTGGCCCCCTCTCCTACCTTGAGGAGGTGAATCGTGTCTCTCTCTCTCTCTCATTTACTTTCTAAATAAACTATATTTTCTAATCTAAAAAAAATATTGTTATCGATCACAATGTAAAATTTTGGCACACGTGAAGATGAATTATATTTTGAAATTAAAATTCTGGCTGGGCGTGAGCCTGTAATCCCAGCACTTTGGGAGGCCGAGGTGAGAGGATTGCCTGAGCCCAGGGGTTCGAGACCAGCCTGGGCAACTTGGTGAGACCTCGTCATTACAATAAATCAAAAAAATTAGCCAGGTGTGGTAGCAAGCACCTGTAGTTCCAGCTACTTGGAAGGCTGAGGCAGAAGGATCACCGGAGCTCAGTAGATGAATGCTGGGGTGGTCGTGAACATGCCACTGCACTCCAGCTTGGGCGACTGAGTGAGACTCTGACTAAAAAAAAAAAAAATTCCTTTCCAGTTCAACACTTACTACATTCCTATCATTATAAGACTATGGTAGACACAGGGGTTACACAAAATGGGGTCTCAATGTAGCTGAAACTTGCTCAGGGGGTCACCTTCTGTGGTAGAAGTGGTCTATGTAATACTCCAAGGAAAGTCAAGGCCTGTGTACAAAGGACTGCATACACAACTTTATATATATATATATCCACTTTCTTCTAGGGATATTGAGGCATGGATGGACAGTAGGTTGTTGGAAATTTGGGCCTGAAACTCAGAAGCAGAAGAGGAGAAATGAATAACCATTTTTTAAAACAGTTCATCTATGTATGGTATTTTATTTAATTATCACATCAATCCCAAAAGGTAAATGCTGTTCATTGCAGCTTCTATTTCAGGTCATATTCCAACGTCCCCATATTCTTTTTACTAAATCAAACTAGTTACTTAAGGGAAGTTGAGGTTGATGATAACAATTGGGGAATGATTCACAAATGTCTAAAACTCCCAGGAGAGCAGACAGGAAGAGACATGAGAAAAGGGTCACACACAAAACCTGAGGGATTGCCTGTGTTTAATTATGCTTATATGTATGTATTTATTTATTTACTGAGATAGGGTCATGATCAGTCACTCAGGTTCAAGCAATCCTCCTACCTCAGCCTCTCAAGCAGTTAGGCCTACAGGCATATGCCACCACGCTCGGCTAATCCTTAAAATTTTTGTAGAGATGGAGTCTTGCTGTGTTGCTAGTCTTGAACTTCTGCCCTTAAGTGATCCTCCTACCATGGTCTTCCCAAATGCTAGGATTATTGTGTGAGCCACTATGTCTCTGACCTACCTGCATTTAATTGTTGGCAGAAGGAGGGAAGCTAGTGGAAAACTCTGAATCCAAGTGATCAGAATGTATACAGAGAACTAAAAGAGAGGCTTGGAAAGTCAGGTTTTAAAAGTTTCAGTACCTGGCAGGGCACAGTGGCTCAGTGAGACTCTGTACAGTTAAAAAAAAAAAAAAAAAAATTCAGTACCTTAAAGTAGGACAGATACTGAGATAAAGTAACTAAATTTCACAACAGGAGAGAAGACATTATTTCACACTGTTGTCTAATTTGGTAGCCATTAGCTACGTGAGGCTATTTATATTGAAATTAATTAGATCTAAGTAAAATTTTTTAAAATTCAAAATTCATTTGCTTCGTTGTACCAGCCATATTTGAAATGCTCAAAAGCCACGTCGCTAGTGTCTACATATGGGACATTTCCATCACTGCAGAAAGTTCTACTGGGATGTGTTTTTGAAAGTACCCAGAAGTGCAGAAGCAAGATTGCAGTGGGAGATTTCACACATCTCCTCTAACACCCAGTAGTTTGCAGTGTCTGGCTGATGAGACCTCTCCACCTTGCACGTGCCTCCTCACTTTTGCTATTCAATCTGGGTCTCGCCCTTTTTTTCTTGGACGATTGCAATGGCTGCCTATCGGCCTCCCGGCTTCTGCTTTTTTCTCCTTCTAACCTATTCTCCACACACGTCATTCCGTCACTAAATACCACTCTCTTTACCGTGCCGCTTTTTCTGGCCGGCCAGTCAGCCTTAACTTCTACTGACCACCTCCCGGGCCGCTGTGCGGATGCGGGCACTGTGTCAACCTTACAGGAAGGTGATCCCCCGTCCCGCGCCCTCCCTTCCCTCCCTGCACTCACAGGGTTCCTCACCCGTAGGTAGAATGACTATGATACATTTCTGTCACAAGTAACAGTAGAGAAGAAACAACACCCTCTCCTGTGTCTTTGATTTCTGATGTTACCAAACGTCTTTATTTATTTATTTTTTTGAATCGGTGTCTCACTCTGTCACCCAGCCCGGCAAATCAAATCAAATCTATCCATCCATCCATCCATCCATCCATCCATCCATCCATCCATCCATCATCTGTCTATCTATCTATCTATCTAATTATCCTTTCTCCTCGGCCTCCCAAAGTGCTGGGAATTCAGGCGTGAGCCCCCGCGCCCGGCCTCAAATGTTGTCCCTCTCCCTCTGCCCCTGCTGAGTCCCAGTTACTATCTCGTTACTTGTCACTTTACCGCCGCCACAGTCGTCCTCCCACCTCCCACGGGAAGCTCCGGTCGCATCACTCCGTTTCTCCAATCTCCCCCCCCCCCGGCCCCCAGGCCCTACAGAACCCACCGGCGTCAGGTCTTCTAAGAAGCTGGCGGCGCCCTACCTTTCCGCCTGGCTCCCTGCATTCCTCTTTCACACGTCTCGCCCTATCGCAACGTGGTACTCACCATTCATGCATATCCACCTCCTTCCCTCCCGCCCGCGCGGTGTCACCTTTCGGGGCCCAGGCTCCTCTCCCCTACCGCTAATAGGATGCAGGAGGAAATGTGCACAAAAAGCCCAAGGTAGTGGGGGTGGGGAAGGGGGGGGACACGACCACGATCGAGTGACCGAAGGACACACACCCGTTTGTCCATTTAGGGAGCAGCAGATAAAAATAAAGTGGCATGACCAATCATTGCCCTCCCCCCAAATAAGACCAGTGAATTTCCACGGCGACAGCGCCTCACAAGCCAAGGCTCTCTCGGCAGAGAAAGGGTCCAGCTGGGGCCCTGGGAGGCGAAGGGGATTGTGGGAACTCTGTTCGTCGCCCCGCTGGCTCACGGGAAATGTAGTTCAGACTTCTCCAACATGGCCGCGCCCAGGCGAGGTGGCGAGTGAGTACCCGCCGCGGCTTTCTGGGGCTGGAGGCGAGAGGCCGGCGAAGGAGAGAGCGCCTGAGTGGGGAGGATCGGGCCTGAACCGAGGCGGAGGGGTGGTGCTTGCTGGCGGGCTCGAGGGATGCGGATCTCCGCTTCCTCTGGTCAGCCTCTTCCCGTCTTCGCCATCTGCCTCGCCGGCCTGGGGCTGAGCACCCGGGGAAAGGAGGGATGATCTGGGCCGCGCTAGGGTGCGCGGTCCCGGGGCAGTGGGATGCCCGTGCGTTGGGTGGTCCTGTCGGTGCGTAGGGTGCACGTGTTTGTCTTTGGTGCGGGTGCCCACGTGGTGTCCGTGTCAAGCTTCTGCGCTCTTGGGGGTTGGAATCGGAAGGGTTGTAACCTGGGGCGCGTTCGTCCGACGCTTCCGGGGTTTTTTGGACCGGTGTCAATCCAGTGGAGTGCTGACGGCCTGGTCATTCGCGCAGCCGAGTCTTCCTGTGCTCTTCTTGGAGCCATCCTTGCGACTCTTGGGCCTCTGGTGGTGTCTGCCTGTGGTTTTCACTGATTTCATCGAAGGAACAGCTACTGTCAGCTGTATGCTAAGCTCCAAGTCTGTGCCTTCAAGTAGATGACAGTCTTCTGGGCGATCCCAACACAAACAGGCAGTTATAATACAATGTGAGAACTCCAGAGTTAGGGATATACACCAAGACTTAATGAAAACCTTGAAGAAGGGCACTGAACTCAGAATTCCGGAGGAGAGGTTTAGTAGCTAAGATGACAAATCCGATTTAGGTTTATTCTACAATTTTCTTTCCTCCTCCCTCCCTTCCCCCTCCTCTCCCCTCCCCCCTCCCGCCTCCTCTCCTCTCCCCTCCTTTTCCCTGCCCTCTCCCTCTGTCACCCAGGCTGGAGTGCAGTGGCACCACACATGGCCTACACATTTTTATTTCATGGCAACAAGGTGTTACAACTTGTTTAGGTGCTGGATGCTACAGGGTAAACAATATAGACAAAATCCCTACTTAGTGGAATGTACTTTCTATTAAGTTATGGGGGAAGAAAGACTAAACAAATTAATGAATATAACAAAATGTACAGGCTGGGCATGGTGACTCACATTTGTAATCCCAGCACTTTGAGAGGCTGAAGTGGGAGGATCACTTAAGTCCACGAGTTTGAGACCAGCCTGGGCAGCATAGCAAGACCTCATCTCCATATATAGAAATAAAAATTAAAAAAAAAAAAAAAAATATATATATATAGGCCAGGCGTGGTGGCTCACACCTGTAATCCCAGCACTTTGGGAGGCAGAGGCAAGAGGATTGCCTGAGTCCAGAAGTTCTAGACCAGCCTGGGTAACTTGGTGAGACCTCATCTCTACAATAAATAAGTTTTTTTAAAAATAGCCAGATGTGGTGGTGCACGCTTGTGGTTTCAGCTACTTGGAAGACTGAGGCAGAAGGATTGCCAGAGTCCAGTAGGTCGAGGCTGTAGTGGCCATGAGCATACCACTCCAACCTGGGTGGTAAAATGAGACTCTGACTCAAAAAAAAAAAAATATATGTGTGTGTGTGTGTGTGTGTGTGTGTGTGTGTGTGTGTGTGTGTGTGTATAAAGAAAGTATATAGTAAGTATTCTCCAAAGGGTTGAAATGGAGTGATATGACAAGTGATGGGATGAATTTTTTCAAATCATTTTTAACTCTCAGTTTCTTTTTAATAGTAATGCAATTTGGATAGCTATTAAATTCAAAAGTCATGAAAGAAGAAAACTCCCGCTCATGTCTTTGCTCATCTATCCATTAACCCCCTCGAGGCAACGCATATTAGCCGTTTTTTGTGTGTTCTAAAGATTTATATGTAAACCCTGTATGCACAGGAACATTTGTTTTGTCTATACTGCTTAGTCCATAACAGGCTCTCTGCTCTTCAGGGAGGGCTCTCTGCTGTTCAGGCTATTAGCTGTTCAAGGAGGACATGCTACTATTACTACTTAGAACAATATCCACAAGGATGTCTTGGGATTAAGCTAACTAACAAGGAAGTAGCAGAACATGCATACTCTCCAAACTCATGTTATCCCACAGAAAGTTTGCTTAGGCTGGAGATGGCTAGACAGGACTCAGCATGGCTAGTATCCTAGTAAATAGTGACCTCATTTTCATAACAAACCAAGCATCTGTGTGACAGTGGAGACTCCCTGGCCAGGGCGGTGGCCTAGTTAGAAAGCAGGTACCTCCAGATCTCAGCAGCTGGTGACTGAGGTGATTCAGATCTGCTGGGATCGCCAAGCTACTGGAATGGAGGAGAAAAGAGCCTCAAAGGCGATCTGGATTTTTCTTGCTTTGCATGCAATACCATGCGGGAGGGAGAAGGGAAAGGGAATAACAAAGATGGTCATGAGGTTCCATCTGCTGGTGTTGAACTCAGTGGCAGAACTTTAAAAAGATGTATCCAGCATCTTCTCTTTCTCATTTCTTCGACTTTGCAGTCTTTGCTCATGTGAACTATTAGGAAAAAATTCTGTGGAACACTCATCTCTTGTTCTCCATGACCACCTGCAAAGTTGCTCTTCCCAAAATGGACACCTTGGGATGGAATGGCTAGAAAATAGCCCCTTTGAAGGCCCTCTGATCTGCTTCTTCTGAAAGTTAGCAATACTAGGGTAATTAATCAATTTAATTCTCCTGAAAAAGATATGAGATAGTATTATTTTTATCCTATTCCTGTTTATAGATGAAGAAACTGAAGCTCAGAGACATACAAATAACTCACCCATCATACAGCTAGTAAGTGGTAGAGCTGAGATTTGAACCTGGAACCTGGACTGCTAAACACTTTGCTAGACTGCCTCATAGCACTGCACGAGGCTCTGGGATAACTAAGAAAAGTATGATTTAATCCCTGTCTTCAAAGAGCTCACAGTCCAATGGAAGGAGACAGACATTAGGACAAAAATTTATCATTAGTGCATTGTTAGCAATATTCATTCGGTATATCCCCTTCCTATCTAATAATGACTCCTAAAGCCTTCTAACCTCAGTCCCTTGCCTCGGAGCTACTTAATATTGTCACCTGCAGCCAGACATTGCAACCGTGTATCTCACCAGCACCTTAAACATATTCTATCCTAAATCTGGCTCGTTACCTCCCTTATTCATCAGGTCTTCCTGAGCCTCTTCCTGATTTTCTGGCTTTGAAATGACATCACTGGCCTCTTAGTCACTCAGGCTCTATCCTGTTAGGAAGTGATCGCTGAGTCCTCTCTCCCTCATGTCTGAGTAGTCAAGGCTTATTAAATCTACCTGAACTTGTCTCTCACCCTACCTCTTTCCCCTCACCCCCTGTTTCCTTTCTCCTGCTTCCAGCCTAGATCAGGCTAGCATTACTATTTGACAAACTGGATTACTGCAGGTCTTCTTATCTCCCTACTATGCTGTCCATTCAGCCTGCCTCCCTGGCCTTACCTCCTGTCAAGGTACCCCGTGTGCTAGGAAATGGGATTGATGCCATCTCAATAGACCTGGTATTGTTCTTCTAGGCTTAAAGATGAGTAATGAGGGTTTTGACTGTCTGGTTCTTTTAATTTTTTTATTATTTTTTTTAAGTTGGAGTCTCACTCTGTTGCCCAGCCTGGAGTGCAGTGGCATGCTCACGGCCACCCCAGTGTCAACCTGCTGAGCTCAGGCAATCCTTCCACCTCAGCCTTTCAAGTAGCCGGAACTACAGATGTGCACTACCATGCCCGGCGAGCTTTTTGATTTATTGTAGAGATGAGGTCTCGCCAAGTTGCCCAGGCTGTCCTCTAACCCGGCTCAGGCAGTTCTGTTACCTCAGCCTCCCACAAAGTGCTGGGATTACAGGCTTGAGCCACTGCGCCTGGTCTGTTTATGAGCTGTTTTGAATTATGGTTTTATTTAACCCCTTAAAGTTATTTCTTTTGCTGACTTTGAAGACTTTCAAGTGTGTAGATTGTGGGACTGGATCAGCAAACTCCCTGCTCTGAAAAAATTGTGCCTATGTCTCACAGTCTTTGCCGGGCGTGTCCATTTCTGTTTTGGCTTCTGCTCTCTACTGCCTCACTAAATACCTTCCTTTCTTGCTGACGGTGGTATGCTTATCCTTCAGTACTCAGCACAAGTTTCCTTCTGTTTTGAAATCTTCTTGACTTTTCCAGCTAACATCTTTATTTTTTTTTTGGTCTCTGATTTATGTCACACCTAAAGATTGTCCCATTAGCACATAATTATATAAGGATGTGTCATTCTTTCCTTGTTTAGTGTTTGTTTTCCTCAAGTAACATATAAACTTGCTGAAAGCATAAACTATGTACTATATGTAGTATTATGGTTGTTTGCTGTAGGGTGCTAAGACCATAATAGGCATATGTGTATTTACTCATTTATTCATTTAGCATTTCAACAAATATTTCCTGAGCAACTACTACATGCTGGCATTTCTGCTCTCCTGGAGTTTATATCATGATGGGGAAATTAAGCTAACAGGCGAATCATCACAAATTGTGTTAAATTCTGTGAACAAAATAAAGTAGACTATTGTGATAAAGCCTGACATAGGATGCTGATTTGGATAGTGTCGTTATAGAGGCCTCTTTGGGAAAGTACTTAGTAAGTACTTACTGGCATATTTTGATAAAGTGAAAGCACAATCTTATGGAATTCTTATTTCTGTTAAAAAATTACAGATGTAGGCCGGGCATGGTGGCTCAAGCCTGTAATCCCAACACCTTGGTAGGCGGAGGTGAGAGGATTGCCTGAGCTCAGGGGTTCCAGACAAGCCTGGACAACATGGTGAGACCTAGTGTCTACAATAAAATCAAAAATTAGCTGGGCGTGGTGGCGCATGCCTGTAGTTCCAGCTACTTGGAAGGCTGAAGTGGAAGGATTGCCTGAAACTAGCTGGTCGAGACTGTGGTGGCCGGGAGCATGCCACTGCACTCCATCCTGGGTGACAGAGTGAGACTCCGACTCAAAATTAAAAAAAAAAAATTACAGATGTCAATGTATGACATGTACTGTTTTAAAAATAATAGAACCAATACCTGTAGCTACCATGTAGCATAAGAAATACCTTTGATGCTTCTTTGATTTTTCATATAAATTTTCTTTCTTCCTTCAGAGAAAAAACTTCTCTCCTAAATTTTGTATTTTTCATTTCCTTGCTTTTCTTTTACCTTTACTATATCTGTGTTTCTAAATAATATATGGCTTACTTGTTGATTTTGCCTTTGTGTAACTGGAATCATATTGTATATTCTTCTGTGAATGTTTTGTGTTGTTGCTTCTCCCCAGTCTCCCGCCTTACCTTCCTTCCCTCTTCTCCTTTTCCTGCCTTGCATTATGGCCTTGAAATTTGTCTGTGGCACATTTTACCAGGACTACAAAAGTACAGGGATTCGTTACTTATGAGTGAAATAGTGCACTTCATAGAGCTACAACTTTGGAACACTTTTTAGAACTATCAGAGATACTGTTAGATATTCTTCTTAGATGTGTATCTGTTCTCACTTCTCTTTGTTGGTAAAAGGTAAATGAAGCATTTTAAAAAATTGTCACGTAAAATATTTGAAAACTATAGAATATATGAATAGCATCCTTATCATTGTTCCTTTAGGATTTTTAAGGTTGATGTTTTTTACTTTTTTTTTTTCAGTATTGCTATGGACAACAACCATCAAAGTAATTACAAACTCAAAAAAACTGAGAAGAAGTTCTTAAGGAAACAGATTAAAGCCAGACATACTTTGCTGAGACATGAAGGCATTGAGACAGTATCCTATGCCACTCAGGTAACCTAACACTATTATCATTTGAGTGTAATGTATTGACATGTTAATGCATTATATTAATAATTGCTCAAGACTGTTATTGTTCAGTCATGTGTTATATCTGTATTAAATATATATGTTATATATATATATATATATATATATGATAGGACCTGCTAACTTTCTGTTTTGGTTTACAGTCTAGTCTATAGTTTGAATTTCTATTGATCGTGTGGATTGAACTGGAGGAATTTGTGAGTATATGTTAATAATAACTGTACAAATCTTTTCAGTTTACAAAGCATACTTATATTCATTTTTATATTTAATTCCCTAAATATTCTTATGAGATAAGTGAAGAAATTAAAGTTCCGAGAGGTTATGACATGTGCATTGGTATAAACCAGTAGGGGTTTCACAGAAACTTAAAGCTAGATCTTTGAGATCCTGATACAATCTTCTTTCTTCTGTTCCCAACCTTAGCTATTTTATGAAGTATTTTGATTATGTACTATAAAACATTTTCTTTTATTAGACCTTATTGACAAAGCATTTTCATTATCTGATGGCAATACTTAAATGAGATGCTAAATATGAGGGACTATGAGATTTCCTGGGCTATCACTTAGTAGAACTCAGCTTAACTCTTTTTTTTTTTTTTTTTTTGAGTTGGAGTCTTAGCTCTTAATTTCTCCATGTATTTGGACATGAGCAGTATCCTTTGACCTTGGCTTTCTTCATTTGTAAGCAGGGCATAGTATTGCGTACCTTTTTACCCCACTGGATTATTAGATTCTAGAGAATTAAATGGTACTTACTCGACTTTAAAATACTACCATGAATATAGGAAGTTCTTGTGATATTCTTTTTGATTCATAAAGTTATAAGATAAGAGTAGGAAGGGAGCTTCGATATCATTTAATGGAGGGTCAGACGTACAGTTGAGAGGGCGGAGCTAGAATGAAAGTTTAGAGCTCTTGACTCTCTGACCCGTTCTCTTCCCTTGTGCTCACCATGCTGTCTTCCGGGCTACATCATAGCTTAGGAATGGGCAGTCTGATGGGACATTTGAATTTAGCAGGTAAAAGAGACATAACTTGGAGTTAAATATTAGTGACTTGAGAGAAGTTAAGCCAAATTCTTATAGTGTGGATGGAGCAGATGTAAATTAGAATTAGTTATGTTTTCATACATGCCAGTGTTTCAGCCAGGAGCCACTGGGGCTGCGAGGCTTCGGAAGATTAAATGGATGTAGCCTATGCTCATCTCTTCTTACTTTCATCTCTTCCCGGCATGACTTGCTATCTTTTCCTTGCAGGGCCCACGAAGAAAAGTAGTCAGGAAAAAAAATGGGCTCCATTTCTTGGCTGCTTCTGAAGCTTGTTTCTGGTCGGGTCTGTCTTTTCTTTAGAACCTCCAGAAGCTTTCATTTCAGCTTCATGGCCTCCAGTGAAGTGGCATCTCATTTAGGCTTTGATTATTTTTTCTCCATCACATTTTTAAAGGAAAAGAATAAAATTGTAGAGGGACCTCGACTTATATGTTATATATTCAGGGGAGAACAAATATTCTTTAAATACTGTATTATAAACACAGGTTCCCTGGGGCAAATTTATGGCATTTAATATTTTTCTAGAGCAATGACAATGACCCTCAGTGGTCAGGACTGAAGATAACCTTAAAAAAATCCAAGTTCTGCTTATTATTACTTAGAAAATTGCTTAGGTGAGCAATTATGAATACAATAATTATCATAATTATATTGTATAACACACTATACTATCCCATGACCAAAGTTTTACTTTTATTATTATTTAATTTTATAATAATTCTATTATATCTTTTTCAAACAAGGTTCTAGGTGTTCTCATTATGTGTAATAAAGCCAATTAACTATGACTAACCTTGAGCTTAGTATAAATCAGGGGTCGACAAACTATCATCCTCAAACTAAATTATGCTTGTGAGCTAAGAATGGATTTTACGTTTTTAAAGGGTTGTTAAAAAATAAAAATAAAAACCAGACTAGGCAACAGAAACTTTTATGGCCTGCAAAGTCTAAAATATTTCCTATCTAACTTTTTTCAGAAAAAACTTTGCCAACACCTGGGATAAATGATGAAATGGATGAGACTAGGCCATCCATAGCTTACTTTTATTCTACTATGGTTTTCAGAAGTCATAGATTTTAAATTAAAGACCTTAACTCCATGTGGAATGGTTTTTAAGTGTATAGTCTATAGGGGTGTTAGGCCATAAACATCAAAATAGATGTAGGAGACTCCTCCTTCACCTCAAAATTTCCTTGAATAAAATTTACTGCAAATGGTGAAAAGTAAATGTAAAACAGAGGAAAAATTTTAGTTACTTAGTCTGAATTTCCTTAGAGGAAAGTTTTCTCAATTTATATTCAGTAGAACCTATAATTGATTTTTCCTTAAGCCATTTCCTTTACTTTTAGTTTTTAGTAAACATTGTATAATGGTTAGATAAAAAGTGTGGATTCTGAAACTGACAGAAGTGGGTTTGAAACCTACCCCTAATCACTACCTTATTCTAATTTGTCTAATCTTCAGTTCTTCCTCTATAAGGAGGAAGGCTAATATTACCCAAATAAATTCATTTCGTTGTAGGGATTATTTAAATAATAATTAAGTAGGTAAAGTATTTAGAACAGTCTGGCAAGAAAAGTAGTATTATGTAGCTTCTCGTTCGTGCCTTCTCTTTTATTATGTTAATTTTTTATTTCTGGATACTGGAGAATCGTCTTTCAATTTGCATTTATGGTTATTAAGACATGAATATATCGCTGAAATAGGCTATTTAAAAGTTAGTGTTATTTACAACATAGGACTATACTTTATTTCCCAAATATTTAGTACATTGGTTTGCATACCTTGTATGAAATTAGCAAATCAAATAACCAATACAAGGAAACCTTCTTTTCCTGTAATTACATCTTTGTAGAAATCTTATTTTAAAATAAATAGGTTGATAATCAGTTGCTCATGTTACTTTCTTTTTTGTTTGTTTTTCAAGAGCCTGGTTGTTGCCAATGGTGGCTTGGGTAATGGTGTGAGTAGGAACCAGCTGCTCCCGGTTTTAGAGAAATGTGGACGGGTGGATGCTCTCTTAATGCCACCCAACAAGCCCTACTCATTTGCAAGATACAAAACTACAGAAGAATCCAAGAGTGCTTATGTTACCCTCAATGGAAAAGAAATAGTGGATGATTTAGGACAAAAGATCATTCTGTATTTGAATTTTGTGGAAAAAGGTATGATCATACAGTTACCTTTTTAAAAAACAGTTCTTGTTTTTGTCTGAGTTTTCTTTTCATAAACATAAGTTGAGGGATTCAGTTATTGTGAAGCAAAATGAACACATCAGATTAGCAGCCTCTTTTACTTTAACAAACATTCTTTAAGCACCTAGTTTATGCAGGCATGGGACTAGCAGTTGACAGTCCTGTAGAACCCTGCAGGGTGAATAAGACATAGCTTGCCTTTCAGGAGCTGGTCCCATCAATCAACCGTGTATTTATTGTGCAGGTGGCTTATTTTGGAACCCTCCTCCCAACTGTGTTTTCAAAGTTTAACATGGAGAATTCAGATCACTAATTTATTTCACAGCGTCTACCCAGAAGCTTTGAATTAACTGTGATCTAAATGATTATGTGCCACCCTCCATATTTATGGCGGAGTACCCTTAGCCACCAAAGGTTCCTAAAGCTTTATGGTGTGCTGCCCAATGGAACTTTCTGGATGACAGAAATGTTTCTGTCTGTGCTGCCCAGTATTGTAGCCACTGGAAAGTGTGACTGAGGAACTGAATAATTAATTAAAGTTATAGCTTTAGAGACTGACTTACAGAGTTGCTACAGGAATTATTACATCTTTTCACTTTTGCCCCATAGAGTTAGATGTATTGAGATGAACTTTGATGTAGACATCTAATCTTGCATTCATTTGCCACCACTATAGGCACTAAAAGAGCTCTTTTAGATGTGGGGGAGGGTAGATGAGTCTAATCTGATCAAATTTATATTTTTGTAAAATAAGACTCAAAGGAAAACTTTTTAAAGACTCTTAAAGACATACCTTAGAAATTCTACTTCTCAGTATCCACGTGTATTTCCTTTTAAGTCTGACTTGTGCTTTACATATTTTAGAAATGAGTTTGTCCTTGTATTTTACGTGTTTCTGATAAGGTTTTGAAAACAGAGTGGCTAAGGAATAAGTCTCAGTAAGAAAAACACTGTCATTGGGCTTTCTCTCATTAAGTGTGTTGAACACTCAGTAAGAAATTGTACAAAGTGAGTTTTGGAGTGTTCTTTGTTTGAAATCCTTCATTAGGTCCAGATGTACCTCTCAGTCAGCAGCAATCATTTCATAACCTTGGAAATCATTTTTAATTGAGAATATAACCGTATCACTAGTATTTTAATACTTGTTTTGATGTCTGCTATCAGTCATTGAATAACAAGTACAAGAGATATTTTAAATTCTTTTTTAAAAAACTTATTTAGGAAACTAAATCCAAATTACTTGTATTGTAAATTACTTGTCTTTAAGGAATTCTTTCCAAAGTTTTCATTATATAATTTGAATGAATAATATAACATCTGGCATCTGGCACATAGCAGGCACTGGTGTATACTGGAGGGTGCCAAAAAAATTTATACACATTTTAAGAGATGTTATCAATGTATTACTTTTAGTTCACCATAATTAGGTGTGTCTGGGCGCTGATGGTAACCACTTTGAGCACCTCTTGTAATTGCAGAAGTCAAATGTGATTTGTATCCATCTACAATTTTAATAGTTATTTTCCTTTCTTAACATGTGTATACATTTTTTGGCACCTTCTGTATTTATCAAATGATCTACTGTTTATGTTTCTGAATTATTATTAATAGAATCTAGTAGATACTTATTTTAGTATATTATTATATTAAATAATACCAAGATTTAGTCTGCCTGACAGAACATTTCAGCCGTCATGTCTGCAACTTGAATGAGCAGATCCCTCACAGTAAATGTGAATACGCAGTTCTCTTTATCTGACAGGAAATTCTTTTTTTCTTTTTCTTCTAGAACTGTACCTATCTACAACTTTGAGGGACACAGGAGGTTAAGTTATTTTAATATCTGCTAAACAATTCTTTATGATTAATATTTTTATTTCTTTAGAAAATTATATGTTATTTTACATTTTTCTATTACTTGACCATAGCTAGTATCAAGAGCCTAAGAGCAAAAATGAGCATTTAAATTCTTATATTCATTATGTAAGCAGAATCTGGCTTTTTAATGGAGGTGCATGCTGGGAATATTAGGAGAAACTTTGCCTCTTAGTGAAATTTTAAAAGTGACTTAATCATGTTCTAACAGAGTACTTCAATAAACATTGTTCTATTTGCGGCGGGTAATTGCAGTGAATAAAACGTACCGTAATTTTAATCTTGATCTTTGTTTCTGCACTTTTAACATGTTGTGTACCTTTCAGTATTCTTATTTCTAAAAATGAGGGTTGACAGTTTTCTGAATTGATGCTCAGCTACTGGCAGGATTATTTGTATAGAGGAACTTTAGGTTTTGTTTGTGACTATTTTAATTTGGTTTCCCACAGCACAATGGAAGGAGTTGGGGCCTCAGGTATTACCACCAGGCCTCATGGTAATAGAAGAAATAATATCTTCTGAGGATGAGAAAGTGCTTTTGGAAAGTGTTGATTGGACAGAAGATACAGATGATCAAAATTGTAAGTAAAACTTTCAGATTGGGGGCAGTGGCTCATGCCTGGTCATCCCAACACTTTGGGAGGATGAGGCAGGAGAATCACTTGATTCCCGGAGTTTGAGACCAGCTTAGGCAGCATAGCAAGATCTCATCTCTTCAAAAAATAAAAAAGAAACTAGTTGAGCATGGTGGCACACGCTTGTTGTCCCAGCTATTTGGGAGGCTGAGGTGGGAGGATTGCCGGAACCCAGGAGTTCCCGACTGCAGTGAGCTGTGATTGTGCCACTGCACTCCAACCTGGGTGACAGAATGAGACCCTGACTAAAAAAAACAAACCAAAAACAACTTTTAAAATATATTTAAAAGTTTCTTCCCAATGTCTTGTTACAACTCTTTCTTTCTGCCTCCCTTTTTGGTTTATTAATATTTTCTCAAAATTACTGAAGTTAATTCCCTTGTTAGATCCAGTGTTAGACAAGTCATGCCAATAATTCTTAGGGATGTTAATAATAAATAGTATTTATATAGCTATTAATTTGAAACTCCAAACTGATGAATTTTGATGACTCAACATTTGTATCGCTTTTATAAGCACTTTCAATTATTTTATTCATTCTTCTCCACCCTAAGGCCAATTTCCCATGAGGAACCAGCAGTTCAGTACTATACCTATAATGTAGTAAAGGCTTCCTGGTGGTAATCTGACTTTTTCCAGATTATTGTCAGTCTCGTGAGTGACAGTGTACATGTTTGGTTTTCAGATGGACTGGGTGAAACTCTTTTAAGACTTTGTTACAATTTTAGACTTGAAAGAACAGCAAAAATGAGGCAGAATGGTTAATTTTGTTAAAGAAAGTATTCTAGCAGTTAATAGAAGTTACCATTACTAAACTTGTTCTTTTTGCCAATTATTACTAAGCTAATTCTTAGGCAAAATGTTGACTTGGAAAGATACAAAAGAATGCTATTCTTTTCTTCTCCAATACTTTGCTTTCTTCTCTCCACATAGCTCAGAAATCCTTAAAACACAGAAGAGTAAAGCATTTCGGTTATGAATTCCACTATGAGAACAACAATGTAGATAAAGATAAGCCATTGCCTGGGGGTAAGTAACTGTTAATCAAGAATAAGTTCTGAATCAGAAATCTGTAAAAACATATTGCTAATTGGTGGGGTATGTTGTATTTGTCATATGTAGAACAATTGATTTAATACATTTTAATTAGACACATAGTATAGTTTTACTGTAAACAAATTTAAACATGGATAGACTAACATTCCTCTTCACTATTATCCTTATTCTCATGCTTCTTTTCAGAAGAGCATACTATTAACAGTTTAGTATATGATCTTCCAATTCTTTAAAAAGTCAGTTAAAGCGGGTTCGAGACCCGCCTGGGCAGTGAGACCTCATCTCTAAAATAAAATAAAAAAATCAGCTGGGCGTGGTAGCGCATGCCTGTAACTCCGGCTACTCGGAAGGCTGAGGCGGAGGGATTGCCGGAGCCCAGCAGGCGAGGCTGCGGTGGCCGGAAGCGGCCACTGCACTCCAGTCTGGGCGACCGAGTGAGACTTCAACTCAAAAAAAAAAAAAAAAAGTCAGTTAAAATTCAAATGTATATACCTGTGAGAGTAGAGAGTTATTAATATGTGTAGTATTGTCTGGTTTTGCATCTTGTATATTCATATATTACATATAGTGATTCAACTTCTTTTCCCTTCACTCTATGTTTTGGAGATCTTATAAGATTTCCATTTTACTCAGTGACCCATAATAACTTATTCAATTAGTTCCCTCTGGATGGACATTTAGGTTGATCTAGTTTTTAGCTTTTATCAGTAGGGCTACAGTGAATATCTTTGTACACACCTCTTTATGTACTATGCATGAGTTTCTCAAAGGTGACTCCTAAGATGTAGAATGGTTGTGTCAAATTTATGTTCATTAAACATGTTAGTAGATACTGACAAATTGCTTCCCAAACAGCTATGCTAACATACTCTCACCAGATGTGTGCCCCCTTTCCCCAACTCCTACCAACATGTGATATTATAGACAAACTCTTAAATTTGTGATTTCTTGAATAGTAAGGTTGATCGTTTGTACGAGGGGGAAACCCCCCAAAAAACTGAAATTATTTTTTGGAGGGTAGGCCCCTTGCAGTACAGGCTTCCCTCACTAGGTGAGTGTTCTAGGAACCCATGGTCATCTGTATACCAGCTGGCGTTGTTGTGAGGGGCTGCTTTTGGCTTCAGTGAATTTTTTTTGGAGATTCTTTTAACGCATTTGCCCATTTCACGATGGGTGATTTATGAGTGCACCTGCCCACACCGTGCTGAATGTTCAGCAGTTTTTGACCAAAACAGAATGACTCCCATGCCCCACCCTCCCTATTCATCTGGTCTCTTCCCAAGTGACTTTTTTTGGCTTCCTTGGATGAAAAAAAGCTCTCAAAAGGAAGCATTTGCCAATATGGAAAAGGTGAAATAAAAAATGACAGAAGCACTAAAAAGCATCAAAATGGATGAGTTCAAAAACTGTTTTGAGCAGTAGAAAAATCGTCTCACTAGGTGTATTGTATCAAATGGAGAGTACTTCGAAGGTGACTGAAGTTTAAGCGTGTACGAACAAATACACAATTTTTTATAAATGAATTCTGGTTTTTTTGGGTCCTACCTCATATTTCTTTTTATATGAATTTCTTTTTATATTATTTGCCAGTTTTTTCTAATGGATTATCTAATTAAGAATTTGCCATATATTGTGGAATTTAATTGTTGGTGTTTATTTTTGTTGGAACTTAATTTATCTAATTTTTTTTATGACTTTGGTCTTATTTAAGGCCAAAGTCTTATAATATTTATGACTGCAATAAAAGTTAGTTGTACTTTGAGAGAGTTATTTTTTTTTAAAGAGAAATAATCTAAAATGCTTAAATTGAAAATAAATGGAATAATTGAAAGTAAAGTTAATGAAGTTAATTTCTTTTTTTCTTTTTTTTTTTTTTGAGTTGGAGTCTCACTATGTCACCCAGACTGGAGTGCAGTGGCAGCTCCCGGCCACTGCAGCCTCGACCTGCTGGGCTCCGGCAATCCTTCCACCTCAGCCTTCCAAGTAGCTGGAACTACAGGTGCACGCTACCACACCCGCTACCACACCTGGCTAATTTTTTTTTTTTAAATTTATTGTAGAGATGAGGTCTCACCAAGTTTCCCAGGCGGGTCTCGAACCCGTGGGCTCAGGCAATCCACTCACCTTAGCCTCCCAAAGCACTGGGATTATAGACTGAGCCACCAAGCCCGGCTGTTAATTTCTAATATATAATATATTTTAATAATTTCATTGCTGTTTTACAAGGTACCAAAATTGTTGTTATTAACTTTTTTTTTTGCCATACGGTTTCACTCTGTTACCCAGGCTGGAGCACAGTGGCACAATCATGGCTCACCACAGCCTCAAACCCCTGTGAACCCAGGGATTCTGCCTCAACCTTCTGAGTAGCTAGGACTACAGCACATTTCACCATGCCCAGCTAATATTAACATTTTTCTGTAGAGACAGGGTCTTGCTATGTTGCCCAGGCTGGTTTTAAACTGCCTCGAGCAGTCTTCCTGCCTCAGCCTCCCAAAGTGCTGGGATCACAGGCATGAACCACTGCACCCAGCTTGTATGAAAAAAAAATAATGAAATATCTTTAAAAGGTTCTTGAGAGTTTGTTTTTTATTTCTAAATTCTGTTTTGCTTGTGGTTGTATTGTTATAGTGATGGATGTGATTGCTAAATTAAAAACTGATTGCTTTTTATTTCAGTGACTATTTTTTTATTCTTGGGTAAAACTTGCCAAATAAATATCTTAATGTTTTATCTTTACGATTACTGGCTTTAGGTCTTCCTGACATTTATGTTAGCATTTTGGACAAATGGTTGAAGGAAGGTTACATTAAGCATAAACCCAATCAATTGACCATAAATCAGTATGAACCTGGGCATGGTGAGTATTTCTTTTAAAATTTCAGTCACATATTTCAGAACTATGTAGATTATATCATCCTCTAAGACCAAATGTATTATTTTGTTAGTTCAAACTGTTAGACTGCTTTGCTTATGTTTGTTACCTGTATTGATTATACCTTCCTCTAAGACCAAATATATTATTTTGTTAGTTCAAACTGTTTGATAGCTTTGCTTATATGTTTGTTACCTGTGTTGGCCTCAATTCTTTGCAAATCTACACTCCAATCCCTTGAAGAACTTGTGTGTCAAAGTGTGAGCAGACTGACACAAATCAGTTTGTGATTTTTTTTTTTGTTCATGTTTAACATTTCATTTAGATAGGGGGACAATGACTTAAAAAATATAGGTGACATGTATAAAGGAAAAACCAAATAATTTACAGATACAGAGAAGAGGGCTGATTGGTTGAGAGATTTTCCTCTTCTTTCTCTATTTGAGAATATGGAGGACAATTCTAGGATGATATGTTGGTGATTTCTTTACTTGTCAGCAGCATTTTCATCTGATTTTTGTAGTAATCAGATGATATTAAGGGTTTTTTGGGGAAACTTAAACAACACGCAATTATTTTCTCACAATTTAAAAGCCAGAAGTCCAGGATCAGCATGCTGGTGGATTAGGTTCCTGGTGAGGGCTCTCTTCCTGACCTGCTGTGAGCCACCTTCTCTCAGTGTGCTCTCATGGCCTTTCTTCCCTCTGTATGTGTATATCTTGGAGAGGGAGAGTTTCCACTTCTTATAAGATCAGAACCCATACTTATGGCCTCTTTAATTGAAAGGATTTATGAGTGGCAGGAGTTGTGGAGTTTTCTTTTCTGCATTTATCACGATGAGAACTGGTGATAGAACATGGCTTTAGATCTGTAGCCAAGTGGACTTGTTAATATTCACCTCTGAAGTAGAGGGACTTACTGATGATGTCTGTGGCACAGCTAGATGGCTAGAGACCTTCCCCATAGAGGCAGAGGGTGGTCCTACGATAGGACATGATGGAGTGTGTGTTAGCTTCTGCAAACAAACCAGTTGACCCTGCAAAGAGGAAAGGGCTGGGCCAAGGGAGCGAGACTACGCACCAGCCAGTCAGCCAAGGCGTTCCTTGTTTACCCTTTTTACCTGTCTTGCCGTTGGTTTGTAAGCCCTTGTGCCCTCACCATGCAGTGACAGTTCTGTTACTTAAGAGGTGCTCAGTTAACGTAGACTGAGAGATTGATGGTGGAGGTCATAGCTTAATTATTATGATTATTTAAAAATTTTTTATTTTAAAGACGTGGGGTACAATTCAGGGTTAGGTATACATATGTTCATTATGCAGGTGCCCTTGTTGATGAGGTGTGCCCCCTTCTCCCTTGGCAGATTCCCACTACTGCCAATCCCCCCCCCAGCAGCTTCCCACTATTGCCAATCCCTTTCTGATAGTATCATGATAATTGTTCAAGGTCCACTTATGAGTGAGAACATGTGATACTCAGTTCTTTGTTTCTGTGATAGATCACTCAGTATCATAGACTAAGTCTATCCAAGTTGCTGCCAAGTTCGTAATTTTGTCCTTCTTTATGGCTGCATAATATTCATCATTTATATGTACCACATTTTTTTTATCCAGTCCTCTTTCGATGGGCAGCATGGTTGGTTCCATGTTCTTACTATTGTGAACAATGATGCAATAAACGTACGCGTGCAAGCATCTTTAATTTCATAGAGTGATTTGAGTTCCTCTGGGTGTATTCCCAGTAAGGGGATTGCGGGGTCATGTGGAAGGTTGATTTTTAGATCTTTTAGAAATCACCAAACTGTTTTCCACCGAGGTTGAACTGCTTTACACTCCCACCAACTGTAGAAGTATTGCCTTTCGCTATATCCTCTCCAGCATCTGTTGTTTTTTGAGTTATTGATGATGGCGTCCTGACTGGAGTTAGGTGGTATCTCAGTGTTGTTTTAACTTCATAGCTTAATTATGGATAAGCTTTGTCATTACACCTGGCTATTGCTTTTGTTCTATAGGTACCTGGGAATCCCATGTTCAAGGAAGAAAATGACTTTTATATTTCTCTCTCACATCTTCCTCTTGGGCTAGTATTGGGCAAGTGTCCTAATCAAGCAGTGACTCTTGAGCCTTGATTTTTGAACCAAGTCCTGATGGCACTTTAACTTGAAATTAAGATATTTTTAGTTTAGATTTAGTTTCATAATTTTAGTTATATCCACCCTGCTTCCTTTTAACTACAATTATAGTACCTTCCTGATTGCCAGTGTTTTCACCATAATGTGAGGCTATGTTTAGAGTCATCTTAAATCTACTAAGAGGAAAAATGAAGTGACATATTATCCTGTTTTTCATCTTAGGAATTCCTGCTCATGTTGACACTCATTCTGCTTTTGAGGACGAGATCATTTCTCTCAGTTTGGGATCAGAGGTAAATTTTCAAACATTTTTGTAGCTATCAGCATATGTCTTACCTTGTACAATGACTGTTTCATAGGCTACCCACATTCTTGATTAAAATGAATTAAGATTTAAAAATGAAAAGTGAGGGCATGTTAGCACTTTGATTTTTTACAGAATGTGAGATTATCACAGCCTCTTCTTTTAAATGTACAAATTTTATCTGTTAACTCTTCAGATGCCAGAGTAATACTTGCAGTTTACTTTTTTACGCATTTCACTTTTAGCAGTTGAATAAAATCTAGACTTTTCTCTGTGCAACTTGGCCAACTTTTGACTTAGTGATGCAGCATTGCCATCTAGTGGCAAAAGGTAGTAGCTTCAGGCTGTAGAAAAAGATAAAACTTAAATGTGTCTGGAATTTTGATTAAACTTTTTCCATATATTACCCACTTAAGTCTTTTTAAAAACTCTGAGCAGCAGAGGGTAATATCTTCATTTTTACAGATGAAGAATAAGAGGCTCATGTTTATTCATTGATTTGTTTCTGTAATGGCACTCTGCTTGAACTGCTAAAGAAGGTATGAAAAGCTTGATTCAAAATGATCCATAAAAGCTACAGGCAGACACATGGACATAAAGATAGAAACATAGACACTTGAGACTCCAAAAAGAGGGAGGTTGGGAGATGGGTGAGGGTTGAAAAATTACCAGTTGGGTAGAGTGGCCAATATTTGGATGATGGGTACACTAGAAGCCCAAACAAACCCTGCCATTATATAATATATCCATGTAGCAAACTTGCACATGTACCCCTGGAATCAAAAATAAATTAATAAAATAAAATAGAAATCAGAATTTTAAACCTAGAAGAATCCTTAAAATATAAGGTCATCTATCAATATATCAAATTCTGTTCTTTTTCCTGGAGGCAAATGCTAGTTAGTCATTTTGTTTTTGTTTTTCCATGAGTGTATAGTCCCCATCCTTAGGTCTTTGGTGCTTTGACTTCCTGACCTTGGCTAGACTGGCGGGATCATGCTGATACTGTGGCTAGAAGATGAGTGCTGCTGGATTGAGATGACAAAGCCATTTGATCAGCTACATGTATAGATTCTGTACCTTTTATTTTTTAATTTTAAAAACATACTCCACAGACAAGTCAGTGTGTGACTTGTTAATATAGGTGCTTTCAAAAATAATGAGGACTGTGAGGAAAGAAAAAGGTCTCTTCTCTGTCTGGTTTATTTTCATTTTTAGTCCCCGTCCTTGCTTGTAGCTTGAGGGGCCAGTGATAAGCATCTTTGCTTTTCCTCCTGACCGTGTAACCATTTGAGAAATGAGACCGAAGATAATTGGAGATCAGAGTGTCAACTTTACTACTGAGAAAACTGATGGCAGAACCTGGCTTTAGATCTGTAGCCAAGTGGACTTGTTAATACTTCACCTCTGAAATAAAGAAGCTCACCACCCGTGTCACTGGCACAGCTGGGCAACTGGAGACCTCCCACACATGGCAGGGGCTGCTTCTGTAACAGGACATGAAGGGACATGTGATAGCAAGGGCGGAGCCAAGAGAACTTGTCTGCCGACTCACCAGCCCGCAAAGGCATTCCTTCTTTCCTGGGAGCTGTACACGATGGAAAAAGCTAGGCGCGCTCTACTTATTACCCCCAGGGAGTTCCCTCCTCTCCCAGGGAAGTCTGAGCGATGGGAACTCAATACCCCCAACACCCTCCAACACTCACATATGAAGTGTTTCTGCTTTATCGCTTCTCTCTCAATCATCCTTTAGAGCTTGTTTGTGGAGTTTTTCATCTGTCTCTGTAGTGCCCTTAGCATTAAAACAGTAGAGGTTTGCCATCCTAGTGGGTGTGTATTTCTCCTTCTTATGCATGTGTGTGGTTTGTATCTATAGCCATGGTTACTTCTGTGTGACTGACTGTATTGATGTAGATGTGGAAAGAGAGCATCCTTCTCACATTGGAATATTTAGTTGTGTCATAGTCACTCAACATGGAATCGGGCCAGTCTTCATTTTTTTGTCTTATCCAGTGTGTCTCTAGCACCCAGTACCTCCAACGTAGACAAGCAGATTTGCTGCTTTGTGGGCCAGAAAGAAGTGCATGCTCTGTCTTGTTTGGTCATGTCAGTTTTCTGAATTCTGTTTTCACTTTGAAGCGTTTTTCTTAATAACTTATGTTCTGAAGATTCTCTCATTTATGCCTAATTTTCTCATCTTTTAAGATCTCTTGGAAGCCCAAATTCCCTTTTGTGTAAATTGGGCAAATGAGACTCAGTGCTGACAGTTGTTAAAGTGTACTCTTTATGTTTTTTTTTTTTATAGAGAGTAGGATCTTTTTTTATTTGTGCCCCTGCAATAAGGATAATAGCAAAGAAATGTACCTATTTCAGTCAGCAGTCTCTTAGCAGAGTCTATCATAAGATAGAATGTTTTGCTATATTTGGAGGCTTCAGAGTGCTGATTCTTCTATCTTTTCAGTTAGAATTATGTACATTTACTTTGTAACAAGAAAGTGGCATTATATCACTCTATATTGTAGAACTTGAATACAATTTAGAAAATCAGTAGAGTTCAGAAAAGTGCAGTAGAAGCCTGCATAGGTGATATAGTGGAAGTTGAAAAGTCTCTTAAATTAGGAAATAATAATAGTAAAAGATATATACATGCTGCAGACATTTTAACTTAACACGTATAAATTCACTCACCCATATTGTGACATGGGACCAAGGTCTACAGTCTGCCTTTTCTTTATAATTTCTATAGCTTTAAAGTGAAGTAAAGACTTAAAAGATATTCATGAAGCCATCTGAGTGTTGAGTTTTATAATTTAAAGATTTTATTTCCAGTTTTTATTATGAAATTATCACATCTGTTGTGACAGTGTATTTATTTGTTCACTTTTATTGAGTCATTCAGCAGTCAACTTGGTTTATGCAGAAAAATACAATCTTTCCAGGCACGGGTGGCTCATACTTGTAATTCCAGCATTTTGGGAGGCTGAGGCGAGAGAACTGCCTGAGACCCTGGGTTCGAGACCAGGCTGGGCAACTTGGTGAGTCCTCATCTCTACAATAAATCAAGAAATTAGCTGGACGTAGTGGCGCACGCCTGTAGTTCCAGCTACTTGGAAGGCTGAGGCGGAAGATCTCCTGAGCCCAGCAGGTTGAGGGTGCGGTGGCCACAGTCATGCCTCTGCACTCCAACCTGGGTGACAGGGTGAGACGCCAACTCAAGAAAAAGAAAAATACAATCTTTCCTCACTCAATTTTCAAACATTTGTGCGATATTTAATCAAATAATTACGACGACAAGGGTAACTGGCACAAGGAGGTTTGGGAGCATACGCAATTTAGCTTGTTAAGCATTCAGCTGTGCTGGTGAGAACAGCAGTGCATGAATATGTTGGAGAGGCGCCTTCATCAACAGCCATTCAGGGCCTGAATGTGCTTTGCAGAAGGCACGGGGCGTATGGATTGGTTAAGTGGATGCTGGCTAAAAGAGCATCAACTTATGTAACCGGCATTATCCTGGGCAATGTGGGGAACACAAAAATATGTCTGGCCTTGATTTTTTGGCTCAGCTGTTAGACCTGAATATCCGACATTCTCAAAGGCATTTTAACTTGTCTAAGTCAAAGCTTATAATCCTTGTCTTCAACCCTTTGCTACCCACTGTCATTCTCCCACACAAAACAAATCTTTGCTTTTTCTGGGTTTCCTGCTCTGGCTTGTGACTCCACTGTTTATCCAATTGATCGATTGAGAACATGTATTTTTAAGAGTATGCATTTTGCTTTTAAGTACTGCTTTATTGTATCCCATGTTTTCTCTTAAAAACTGCTTTGTAGAGGTATAATTGACATACTTGTATGACACACTGCACATATTTAATATATGCTCATGCAACCTTCACCACACTCTAGGTAATAAACATATCCATCATTCCCGAAAGTTTCCTCAAGCAGTAAGTTTCCTCATGCACTAAATATTTCATTTGCTTTTTTCTGGCTTATGTTGCTGCAATTGTTACATTTGAGGGTGACTTTTGTGTACTTCTCTGACTTAAGATTTTTTATCTTTTGTTTTCTGTAGTTTTGTTTTTAATTTTTTAATATTTAATTTTTATTTTTGGTGATTGTGCTTATTCTGGTTATTTTGATGAGTTTGTTTATTTTGCTGGGGGCTTTTGGGGCTTCTTGAATCTGTGGACTGTTTTTTTCCATCATTTACAGAAAACTGCTAGTCGTGGTCTCTGTAGATCTTGCTTCTGTCCTGTTCTCCCTCTTCATCTACTTTTTCTCTATATTTTTAATATTTTACTTATTCTGTCTTCTGTGTTTCCTTTTATCTCTTTATGCTTTACTACAAATAGTTTCTTCTGCCACCAATTCTTTCTTTTGCCTTGTCTAATTTGCTATTAAACTCTTTCATTGATGTCCTAATTTTAATCATGGTCTTTTTCTGTTTTAGAATATCTGTTTGGTTTTTTTTCAGATTTACAGGTTCTTTTTGATCATTTCAGTTCCCCGCTGAAATATTCAAGCCTAGCATTTATACTTGTCAACATGGTAAGTGTCTTTGTTTTGCAGCTCATGTGTGGTATTGGAATATTTGAGGTCCCTGTGGTTCTTTTCTGTTCCCCCTGCGAGGCTGTGTTTTTCCAGAGCAGGCATTGTGGCTTATTCTGATTCAGAAAGTCTGAGATGAAGGCTGGCTTTATGTATTTATAGAAAGCTCACAGGTGATTGTGTTGTTTAGCTTTTTGAACCACCGATTTTGAACCAGCGAGTTAGAAAATGTTGAAATGTTAAAGTTGTGTAGTATCAACTGCTAAGGCAGTAGGATTTCAGATTTATTCTTTCAGGCAAAGAACAAATAGCAATGAAATAATATAGTCCTCCAATGACAGTTCTAATCATTATACAGTTGCAGTTTCTGATGCGGCGCTAGAAGCTGAAAAGTTAAAGCCTGTGTGTACTGTTTTCGGATCCTTAGGGGTATGTACCA